CAAAAGTTTTAGTTTAAAGTATCTTAAAAGTTTGTGTTAACAGTGAATTTAGACAAATCCTAAGTCTTTGTCATTGTCAGGTGTTACTTTTTAAATTTGTTTCCTTTTAATTTTGTATTTTCCAGGGGGGGGCAGGCCCCCCCCCTGGAACTCCCAGGGGGGGGCAAGAGGACTACTGCCCCCCCCCCTATGTACGCCACTGAACACAAACAAAAAGCCAAACCAACAGAAAGACAAACCAAATCAATATATACATAAATATCGATTCCAAGATGCAATAAATTTGATATTATCACTCTCCTTGTTTAAATCCTCCGATTAAATATTCGTCTATTTCTAAACCTGCGTCTTGAGAATCTTGAGATCAAAGATACTTTCAACAATCTTTTGATCAGACCCTCATACCTTGACACGTCAATATTCTGCCCCTTGGACCCTTCATTCGTCAGTATACTGCCCCTTGGACCCTACATGCGTCAATATTCTGCCCCTTGAACCCTAGTATGTTAATTTTATGCCCCTTGGACCCTAAGTATGTTAATATTATGCCCCTTGGACCATACATGCGTCAATATTCTGCCCCCCTTGGACCCAAATGCGTCAGTATTCTGCCCCTTTGACCCTAAATGCGTAATATTCTGCCCCATGAACCCTAGTATGTTAACATTATGCCCCTTGGACCCTAAGTATGTTAATATTATGCCCCTTGGACCCTATAAATGCGTAATATTCAACCCATGGACCCTAGTATATTAACATTATGCCCCTTGGACCTGAGAGTACGTCAATATTATGCACCTTGGACCCTAAGTACGTCAATATTTTGCCCATTGGACCCTTTATGCGTCAATATTCCGTCCCTTGGACCCTAAATGTGTCAATGTTCTGCCCCTTAGACCCTGAATGTGTCAATATTCTGCCCCTTTGACCCAAGTACATCAATATTTTGCCCCTTGGACCCTACATGCGTCAATATTAAGCCCATTGGACCCTTTATGCGTCAATATTCCGCCCCTTGGACCCTACATGTGTCAATGTTATGCCCCTTGGACCCTAAGTACGTCAATATTATGCCCCTTGGACCCCAAGTACGTCAATATTTTGCCCCTTCGACCCTACATGCGTCAATATTAAGCCCCTTGGACCCTAAACGCGTCAATATTCTGCCCCTTAGACCCTACATGTGTCAATGTTATGCCCCTTGGACCCTTAGTACGTCAATATTCTGCACCTTGGACCCAAAAAGTGTCAATATTATGCCCTTTGGGCTCTAAATAAATCAATATTATGACCTTTGGACGTCAATATTTAGCTCTATCGACCCTAAATACGTCAAGAATTCGGTTCTCATAAGTTGGACCCTATAACAGAAAATTATAGCTTTGATAAAAAGACTCAGGATTCATTCTTACTCGAGGATATATTCTTACTCCAGGATACTTTATTACTCCAGGATTCATCCTTACTTTAGGATATATTCTTACTCCAGGATACTTTATTACTCCAGGATTAATCCTTACTTTAGTATATATTCTTACTCCAGGATTCNTCCAGGATTTATCCTTACTCAAGGATTCATTCTTACTCCAGGATTCATTCTTACTATAGGATATATTCTTACTCCAGGATTCATTCTTACTCTAGAATATATCCTCATTCTAGGATGCATCCTTACTCCAGGATTCATTCTTACTCCAGGATTCATCCTTACTCCAGGATTAATCCTTACTCCAGGATTCATTCTTACTCTAGGATTTATACTTACTCCAGGATACTTTCTTACGCCAGGATGCATCCTTACTCCAGGAATCATCCTTACTCTAGGATTCATCCTTATTCCAGGATTCATCATAACTCTAGGACATATTCTTACTCCAGGATATTTTCTTACGCCAGGATTCATCCTTATTTTAGGATATATTCTTACTCCAGGATTCATCCTTACTCCTGGATTCATCCTTACTCCAGGATTCATCCTTACTCCAGGATTCATCCTTACTCCAGGATTCATTCTTATTCCACGATTCATCCTTACTCCTGGATTCATCCTTACTCCAGGATTCATCCTTACTCCAGGATTCATCCTTCTCCAGGATTCATCCTTACTCCAGGATTCATCCTTACTCCAGAATTCATCCTTACTCCAGGATTCATCCTTACTCCAGGATTCATCCTTACTCCAAAAGTCAATTCTATCAAGAACTAATCACTTTTCTATTAATTTCTATGCTATTATCAAGGTAAAATTATGAAATATCAACTAGATTTATCCAAATATAGTTTACACATAAAATATCAATTTACTTCAATAGATAAGAAATGCGTCAATTCCATTCAATTAAACTCAAAGTTAGATGTAAAAATAATTTATTATATAAATATTCATGATTTATACATATATTTATTATACAAATATAGGTTAATAATTAGCAGAATACTATAATAATTCCCTTTAGATTATGTTTTGATACTTTGATAAGAGGATGTGGAAAAATATGTTTTATAAAGATTATTACGCGAAGCAAAAAATGTTAGGTTTTTGTATTTTTTTTGTGTTCAACGCTAGATGAAAAGTTAAAATGGTTTAAATATTTTTTATGTAAGCTTGAATCCTCTAGTTTACAATTAAAATGAATAATATCATTTAATATCAATTAAATTCAGATTCAAATTAATTTCTGTACGTTGCCAAGTAATTTCTTTATTCGCAAACTTTGCAAAATTATGCAAATACATCTAATTTCTAAAATTATGCAATTATAAACAGTTATCTTTTTCATATGGAATGCTGCAATAATAATTATAGCTATTTTCCCCATCAAAACAAGTGGAAACGGTAGGAAACAAATTTATTTTAACTTTAACCAATTCCTAGGAATCGGTTCATCTGAATCTTCACTATTTTGACCCGGATCCAGTGAATCTACAATATTTTGACCCGGATCCAGTGAATCTACAATGTTTTGAGCCGGATCCAATGAATCTACAATATTTTGACCCGGATCCAATGAATCTACAATAATTTGACCCGGATCCAATAAATCTGCAATAATTTGACCCGGATCCAACGAATCTGCAATAATTTGATCCGGATCCAATGAATCCACAATATTTTGACCCGGATCCAATGAATCCACAATATTTTGACCCAGATCCAGTGAATCTGCAATAATTTGACCCGGATCCAATGAATCTACAATATTTTGACTCGGATCCAATAAATCTGCAATCATTTGACCCGGATCCAATGAATCTGCAATAATTTGATTCGGATCCAATGAATCTGCAATATTAAGTCCCGGATCCAATGTATCCGCAATATTTTAGCTCCCTAAATACCAGAAAATATACAACAATCAAAATGTATGTTATCAGAAATCTTCTATTAAAAAATGTTAGATCTACCAAAAATGACAATTAAAAAATTAAGATAAAAAGATTATATTTCGGAAATTTTCTTTTTTTTTAATTAGTAAAACTTGAAGAAATTTCTAAGAGCTGTATCCAAATTCAGTTTTTTACGGGATGAACCCAGATCCAAAAATGAAATTGCATGTATTGGTGAAGGAGAACATCAAACCTTTTTCAAGTTTCAAAACAATCCCTCAAAACAAAAATAATTTTTTTTTACAAAAGCTTCCGACACAAAAAAAAACTAAAATTGACCCGTGAAAATTTCTATAAAAATAAATTACTCTTTGTCGGCCGCTAATCTTTTCTCCAAAATTAAATATAAAACTGTTTGTTAAGCAAATATGTCATGATTTTAGATTAAAAAGCGGACTTGGACCATAGATTATAAATATTTAGAGAGCAATCATTGGTCCTCAAAATGTTAGCAATTTTCTCATTTAAGTTTGACGTAGTACAGTAAATGCGGGAAAAATGTAGATATTTTAAATTTATAAATAATAACTAGGGTTTTTTTATTACATAGGCTCCAACAAATTCTAATGAATCAAAAAATATTCAAATTGTAATTTATAGAGTTTGCTTTTTTAAAATTATGCAAAATATTGATTCCAACAGAAGCAAAAACAATGGTTCGTTAACGAATGATTTAAAAAAATGGTTTTTGCTCATATCTTTCAGAGTCAAAATTTTGCATAGGATACTTAAAGACCAAATATAAGAGTGTACAATTTTGAAAGAATTCTCATTAAGTTTAAATATTTTAAATATCTTAATATTGAGAGTTCATTTCATATGCAAACTATAAACTTTTTCAATTGGAAACTTGGAAACGGGGTTTAAAGATCGAATTTGATCTTCATATAATATATAAGATGAAAGTTTAAACGTATAGACCCTACCTAACCATTGGATTCTTCAAATTAGTTTCAATCGTTGTTTGGTCCCTAGAGCAACAATTGTTAAACTTACAGAGTTGGTTTTTCTAATTTTTCCCCGAAAACAAAAGCACTAACAAAAAAGTATAACAACGACAAATCAAAAGATTTATGTTTAATTGGTCAAATTGGGATTGAAAGTCCCGGTTTGCTGGGACAAGGACCGAACTATTAAATCAGTGACTTCAGTTTAGAATAGTGTGTTTGATTCACAACAATACCCTTGAAACCTTTGAACTTAATAATTGGAAAATATAATGCCGTTTTTGCTATCTTGAAATTCTGGTAATTTCTCCATTGTTTCTGCAACAAGCAATGCGCAAGTCACTTTTTTGTAGAAACCACAAATGAAAATATATCTAATTCATACTTGATCAAACAAAACTTTTACGGTATCGTTGTAAATCGGACATTGACACTCTTTACAGGAAGAGTCACTTTAAATTACGTTTACTGCCACTTTAAAGAAATTTATTTCAATTTTGAAAGATTAAGAGAATTGTGCAGAAAACTGGGCCTTCTGTATATTTTGAAAATGAAAAAAAGGCAAGTAAACTTTTAGTAAACTTAAAGGTTATCATAGACATAGATAAAATTTAAACAATTATTTTTTTTTGGTATAAAATAAACGATTGAAGATTAAAATATAGAGATTCATTTTTTACGTGTTCATGAAAAGCTTTAGAGAGACGGAGAAATTTTAGATATTTATCAAGGTTTTTGATCAGCTGAAAGTTATAGTTTGAAGCTAGGGCTTAGGTTAAAAGAGAAGAACAAGAAAGTTCCGAATTTCCTCTCGTTCTTCACGTTTTTCTCCAGGTTTAGATGAGTTTAGGGGAAGGAGACTTTCTCCTACCCGGAGAAGGACTGTTTCTTTTCGAACTTACTCCGGGTTCACCAAATATCTCTATAGACGACCCTGCCTTTGCTTCTCCTGGTTCGGTTAGGGTTGCGGAGAACTTCTCCGATAGTTCTCCTAAACTTTTCTTCTTTAAGGCAGGAGTAAAGGAGGAGTCCTCGGAGTCGTATCTGTCATCATCCTCGGTCAAAACTTTCTGAAAAAAATTTTAATTTTTAATTTTTTTGCAGTATAGTTTTAAATTAAATAGTACTAGTTAAAATGCCCAGCGTTGCCCGTGGAATTTTAAAAACACTAATAGCTATAATCATGAGCGAAGTGCTTTATTATTTAGTTAATATAAAGATTATAAGGATTATGTTTCATCCATTTTAAATTTTTATTTTTTAAACACTGTCTTTAAGATTTTAGCGTTTGTGTAAATTCAAAAAGTTTTACATTTGTAACTCCTACAGTCAGATCCATAAAACTTTGGAAAATAAAGAAGACACTGAAGAAAGTTTTATGTGTCCATACTGTAAAGCTCATCTGATATTAGGTATTTAAGTTTTTAATCTTATATAATGTGTATATATGAGGCTTTTTATAATTCTTGCAGTTGTATTTAAGTTTTTAATCTTATATAATGTGTATATATGAGGCCTTTTATAATTCTTGCAGTTTTTTATTTAAAAAACATCCCTCACAGTTTAAATGGCCTATGTAGATTTTTGCCCTTCTAGAAAAATATTGAAACAAATTCAAAGTTTTGCATTTTATTTCTTTCCGTTACTGTAAAAACTACAAGAGCACAAAACCCAATTCTCAGCAGAAAAACATTGAGTCTCAAACTTAGATTATTTGATATAGCAGAATTCATTGTTTAAAATAGCAAAGGTCTAAGACACTGGGTTTCAAAGATATAGAAATTAAAAAAATTTTTAATTCTTAAATCTTTTCAATTTAATAATGTCGTCTACCTTTTATATTTTAAAGTAGGAATTCAGTTAGATACAATGATGGATATATTAAAGGTTTACATCATCAGGTTTTAAAAATAATAGGGCATTACAAATCAAAATACTTTAATGTATAAGATTGGTGAAAACGGGAAATTTTCGATTTAATAAAAAAAAACTTTTCATTAAAATTATCATTTCGTGGTGGGTTCAATTTAAATACATTTTATAGAACCCCATTTTGAATTGAATTATACTATGTTTGTGAAATATTTATTGGATAGGAGAGTTCGCCGTCAAACATTATAGAAATCCAATGTATGGAAATCGCTAGGCATAGCAACAAGGTGTTTTTTCCGGGAGAATTTTTTTGATATTTTTGAGAAATTAGACGTTTATGTGTAGCTTATCATTATCATTATCATTATTTCTATTTGTTTAACATACCCTAGAGACTATACAACTAACTAGATTAATATGTACATTTGTACTGCTCTCTATTGTGTTTAAGGTCCTCCCAGATTTATTATGTACTGACAACATTAATTAATAATTATATGGTTACATAAAATTGTGTGTTACTATTTAAAAAACTATTTTATGAAAATGATATGTACAGTTTTATTTGTACAAAAAAAATTCTCAAAAATATTTAAAAAAATTCTCAAAAATATTATAAAAAATTCTCAAGTAATTCTAATAGGTGTTGTGTAATTTATTTAATTGTTCTCAATAATTTGTTGAATGTTGTTGGAACACGATTTTGTAAATTGAGAACAGTCCCTTAGCGAATTTTGTAAGTTTAGAGCAATCCCATAAATAGCTTGATTAAATTCGTGATTTGGTTCTGAATAATAATATTCTCAATATTTTTACATATTCTGTTTGTTTATTTACTGTTTGTTTATTTACTGTTTGTTTACAACTTTAACCAGTTTGCACTAAATTCTGTGCAGTACCCTTGGTCATCTGGTCTCACTACCAGGTTAGGAAGATTGATCAAATTTTTCCACATAAAGTCAAATTGGTTAAAATTGTTAAAATATTTTGATTAATTTGGAATTCTTTCATTTTTAGTTGGATTTAGTTTGTGAAATCGGCGGATCTGAGGTAGAATTTTATATTAAAGGCTCTATTTACGGCTTTATTTACAAGTGAAATATTTTGTGTTTTTTTTTAGATTAAACAATGAAATAGTTATTAACCCATTGATTCCAAAAGCGTCGTTTTTTGATCCGTTCTAAAACTTTTAAATTTGTTAGATTTTCTTGTTTCTTTTAACTTTTTTCAATATTCTTATTAAACTAAATTCTTATTTGAGCAGTAAATCTTATAGGGTTATATTTTATCTTGTTGTTCTTGCACTTTATATACTTTTAATTTAGCAAGTGTGTTGTTGTTCATTGTGGTTTGACGGTTCAGCAGTATACTCAAGCAAAATTATTGCTTATCCTCAAGCAAACTTATTGCAAAAGACCCTGCTGGATCTACCCTAACTCTGCTCAACCCCGATCAGCGAAACAAGTAAGAATAAACTTATTCTCTGCCAAGTCGTTCATTTAATGCAACTGATTGCTTCATTAGAAGCAAAATAGAATTAAATTGCTCAGTTTAAAATAGTTCCAATAAACCTATATATTGGGCAAGGTTATAGCTCCAATAAAGTAAAAGCAAACTTATTGCCAGAAGCTAAGTTTAATTGCTGATTTATTGTGTAATTAGATAACACACAATTATTGGTATTTAACAGCAATTAGGTTCAGGACAGATAGTTCATGGGATAATAGGGTGATTGTCATGAATTAGGTTCATGACTGATAGTTCATGGGATAATAGGGTGATTGTCATGAATTAGGTTCATGACAGATAGTTCATGGGATAACAGGGTGATTGTCATGAATTAGAATTACCTAATATTTATTTAGACTGAATACAAATAGTCTACAGAGTCCTAAATAGATACGTTTCACTTAAATCGCTGAGAAGCTAAGCAACAAGCACATTTATTGCTTTTATTGTTAAACAATAAGTGAAGTCTAATCTTAGGTTAGCCACCATTACTAATACACGAGTCTAATCCTGCGTGGGGTTAAGCATTGTATTGCTTAACTGCTAACATTGCTAATATAGCAAAGTTATTGCTGAAATTTGCTATATACACTAGCATTATGTTTATTTAGTTTTTGAAACCGCTGTGCTGTTATCAATCTGTGAACGGAACCCTTTCTAAGAAGATTGTATTTATTAATAAAGATTTACGTTACTTAACCTTGTCATTTATTTATTATCGGGATTAGATAGTAATTCTCTAAAATTGCACAACAATATGATTTCATAAAATTCCGTTTTACCATTAAAATAAAAAGATTTTATGAAAAATATATCTACTTTACACTGATTATTTAATTTCTCAAAAATATTTTTTTTTATTCTCCCGGAAAATACGCCTTGTTGCTAAACTTCTTTGACGCCAGAGAGTTCAAGTACAGTATTAACTTATACAGAATGCATCTTTTCAATTCGCTCTTTCATTTTAATTTAATTTTCATTTCGGAATTTTCAGAAATAATCTATTTCCTATAAAAAGTACAATCATTAAAAATGTGTGAGCAAGTGTACGGTTTTTTAGGGGAATATAACCAGAGGCGGTCACAGGGAATTGTCCAGTGCTTAGCTGAAACTTATTATTTCTCCAGGAGGCAGGGGTTAACACCCGTTGGGACCCAAAACCCCTTGAAACCTTAGATTTTACTGATCCGATGGGGGGAGGGGTTGATTCCCCCTGTGTACCCTTCGCGATTTAAAAACTATTTTATTTCCAGAATAAATTTCGATAAAAATATTTTTCTTAATTTAATATTTAAAATTAATTCTTGCAAAATATTTTTAGTAAAAAAAAGTTAAATTGAAATATTTTTCGTCTTTCAAGCGAAATATCTACAAAAATGTTTGAATATTATAAATTGCAATATGTAAATATCACTAATAACGTAATATGAATTGCGTAAAGGTTAAATCTAAAGTACACACGTTGTCACAAAATTATGAAATAATTATCTAATTATGTTTTTTTACTTACTTAGCCATGAGTTGGTAATGTTAGTCAAAAGCAAAAAAAATGATTTTCAACATTATAAATGCACTATAGAAAAGGTATTAAAGAGGATGGACTATTCAGGACGCACATTGAGAACGCACCATTGAGGACGCACATTAAAAGTGCACTATAGAGAAGGTACTATGGAANGAACATTGTCGAGGAGGAACTATTTATGACGCACATTGAAAATGCACTACTTAGAACGCACATTTAGGACGCGCCATTGAGGACGCAAATTGAAAATGCACTATAGAGCAGCTATATTTAGGACGCACCATTGAGGATGAACTATTAAGGACGCACATTGAGGATGAACTTTTTAGGACGCACCATTGAGGACTCACATTGAAAATGCACTATAGAGGACACACTATTGAGGACAAGTACGAGGACGCACATTGAAAATGCACCATGAGGATGAGCTATTGACGCACAGCTTTATATGTAAAAAGCAAACCTGGAGAACATGTTCTGCGTCCTGTAAAGCCTCCTTGGCCAGGAAACGTTCTCTCTTCATCTTGATATCCAGGGAGGCCGGGATATCCGGGACCAGGATATCGATGAGCTTGCACACCCCGAACACCACGTGCTCGAAGATGATGACAAATGCGAACTTGAGGGCGAGTATCTTCCAATGGACTGGGGTAAAGTTACCGGCATCGTCACGGAACCCTCGGTAGTAACATTCCTCCTGAAATAAGGATTGCTTAAAGGGATTGTCCAAGTTATCTTAAGTGACCCTCCCAATTAGATTTGAAGAGATTCACAACAACAATTTATAAATCTTATCATTACGTTCATAGAGACAAACTATAATTTAAAATTAATTTTCTGACGAAGGTTGTGAATCTAGCATATATCTCTTTATAATCATCTTTGTAATTTGTAATCAGACGATAAAAAAATATTTTCAACTCGTACACAGCTCAGAAGAGCAAGAAAATGACTGAGATTTATTATTCAATAAAAAGTGGTTTCTACAGTGATAACCAGAAAACTCTGAAGACGACTTTTAGACTAAAGTTATGACTTTCAATAGTCCAATCAGCATGGTATGCAGCAATTGTACAGTTTAAACAGACCTATTTAACTTAATTAGTGATTTAATAAGTGTCTTTAAAACTATTTGCTTTGTAACACCATGAAATATACTTAAGTATTGCTATAAAATCGTCTTCCAATATCAGAGTTTTCTGGTTATCACTGTAGTATTTATTTTTAAATAAAATATTTGATCAGATGTTTCTGTAAAGAAACATTGATAAAAGCAAACAGGAAAAATATTGAACGAGGAAAAAACAAATTTCATTCATTTATAAACATTCATTCGAGTCATTTTTTAAATACGCTTTATCCCATTAATAAGTGCACAGTCTTTTAAAGGAATAGTTTGTAAATGGAATATAAAGCTTTGCACCTGGTTTTATCCAATAAGTTTTATATTTTCCGACAAAATTCGGATAAAATGTAGATTTAAGCATGTTCGAATCGATTTTCTTTTATTCAAAATGGATTTTCTAAATCGTATTAATTGTGTTTTTTTAGCGATAATAAAAAGTACTTTTACACTAAATAAACGCTCAAGGATAGAAACCGTCAAATTAAGTACAACACATCTTAAGCAATGCAAGGTTCATGATTAAATTGTTGGTCAAAAAGTTTAACTTTGAAATCCACGAAATGCCAACAGAAAAATCTTCTAAACCGTAGAATTATTTTTAGCAAAGAACAAATAGTTTTAGTTAAATATAGGTTTGTACCGCTTTTTTGAAGGCTAAAATATTTAATTCTAAATTTGTAAATATTTTGGTTTGAAGTTTTGCCTTATCATGTTAATTCAATTTAAACATTATACAACTTTACGACTAATTTACTTTCAAACAGAACATACATAAATGTTAAAATTTGAGGTTTAAAATTAAAGGATTCCATTTAAGAAAAAAAAATAAGAAAAAAAACTTTTATCAATAACATAAATATCATTTTTCTTTATAGTTTAGTACTTGCTGCAACCTTTAAAAATTCAAATTTTGCATTTTATTTAGCTCGTAAAATAACAAAAAACTATTTTTTAGGCAAACGTTAAAAATAATTTTATAAAATATTTAATTTTTAGAACATTTGTCAATTTGTTCAATTTATCAAGCTAAGCTTTAAACCTTTCCAATTTTAGATTAATGAATTTTCACTTCCAACAACAAATATAATAAAACAAATGATTAGATTTTACAAAGTTTACAATTTTACAACTGTACTGTACTGTACTGTACTGTACAATTTTACAACTGTACTGTACTGTACTGTACAACTGTACAACTTTACAACTGTACAACTGTTGTACAACTGTACAACTGTACAACTGTACAACTGTACAACTGTACAACTGTACAACTGTACAACTGTACAACTGTACAACAGTAAAACAGTACAACAGTACAACTGTACAACTGTACAACAGTACAACTGTACAACTGTACAACTGTACAACAGTGCAACTGTACAACTGTACAACTGTACAACTGTACAACTGTACAACTGTACAACTGTACAACTGTACAACTGCACAAAACAACTCTTATTCCATCTAACTTACGGTATATTGCATATCAATACTCGTTGTGGGAAAAATGTATAGGAAAAAGATATGTTAAATAACAAAAAACCATATCTGTTCTGTTTCTATACACTCACATCGAAAATTATAGAATATAACATATAAAATAGGTTATAAATACATAAATCAAGTATGGAATATAATTGTAAATATTGTAACACACGTTTCTGAAAATAATTATTTTAACGAAATATTATAAAATGTATAGTTTTTTATGTGTACTTTGTTCATAATTTAATTTAAATAAAAAATCTTTTATTTACTTTTGAGTGCGCTTAATGCCGCAATTCCATTTTGTGAAGTCACTAAAGTTTATTTTACTGTTTTTTATTCCTGATTTCCATCCAGTTATTGAGTAGGGCGCTTTATTTACTTTTGCTTTTCATTAAACATTGAAAATTTAAATTTTGTATATTTTCCTGTTTTTTAGGTTAGCACGTTTTTTAAAACACTAAACTTTTAAATTTTTTTATTCTGACTTACTAAACTCCAAGTTTAGAACCATATCAGGCCCCCAAAAAGTGGTATAAACGGTTCAGCCGTCACGAAATTTAATAAGCTACAAACCAACAGGCACTATACTTGAATAAACAATATAGGAAAGTATCAAATGTCATCATTATTCATTTCGAGTCAACAATAGAAACCAATTTCTGAGGAAAAATTAAGCAATTTATCCACATTTCCTCCTAAGAACAAATCCTCGCAGTTGGGGGCCCACTCTCCCCGGACTAACCCAGAGGGAGACGCATTCGGTTTCTTTTACTTTAAATCAAACGTGTTTTGGTCTTTGATTCAACAATATCTAAAATTACAGATTTGTTTTTTTCTATACTTTTCATTCAAAATATTTATGCCGACAGAAAAAGTATTTAAGAATAAAGGCTAAAAAATTATGTTTAGTATGTAATTGTGATCGAAAGTCACAGCTTTCTTAAATATTGACAGAACCGTTAAATCCACGTGCATTGCACCCCCCTCCCCCGGTTTTCTCCATCTTATATTTGTACATTAACATTTTTAAAAATCCACAAATTTTAAGCCGGAAATCCTCGAAATTTTTTTTTAATAGCAACAGTAAAAAGAAACGCATAGCAATTAATAACATTAGCGGGCTCAAACTTCTATACTTTTCTAACATAATTATTTTAAACAAATTTTACAAAAAATATCTAGAAATATTTTTACCTGCCCCTGGTCGATCCAGTTTTTTTTCGGGGATTTGGACAAGGTGAACATGACGTAGTCCTTCATGGTCCCCCTCTCCCCATACTCGTACTTGTACACCAGCTTCTGGATGAAGTCCGATGTGAACGCGATCAAAAATGCCTAAAAATATTATTTTGTTTAAAAATTACTCTCAAAGGAATTGAGTTTTTGCCACAAACTCTGATTTTCCTATCCTAATATCTTTTTAATTTGATGGCGAAAACCTTTGATATTTCAAACTCAGGTTATTTGATCTAGGAGAATGCATAGTTTGAAATATCTAAGGTCTACGACATTGGGTTACAAAGATATAGAGATTTATAAATCAGAGTTTGTGACTTTATTCCTTTACTTGTTATGTTTACCTTTGCGGTTTGGATATATATATATTATACACGGATTGGATTTCTACAATGATGAACGATTAAAAAAATCTTACATTGCTAATAACTGCCATTTGTGCGAGCATCTCCAAAATTTTGAACCAGATTCCGATATTTTCTGCGCGCTCAGCCACTGCACGCCGCGTCTCACAAACAAACTTTTGTGCGTCCAACCTATATCAATCAACAGTAAAATAAAAGTCTTAAGTAATCAAATATGTGTAAACAAAAAATATGTGGTTTGGATAAATCTAAATATTTGGTTTGGATAAATCTAAATATTGGGTTTGAATAAATCCAAATATTTGGTTTGGATAAATCTAAATATTTGGTTTGGATAAATCTCAATATTTGGTTTGAACAAATCCAAATATTTGGTTTGGATAAATCTAAAGATTTGGTTTGGATAAATTTAAATATTTTGTTTGAATAAATCCAAATATTTGGTTTGGATAAATCTAAAGATTTGGTTTGGATATAAATCTAAATATTTGGTTTGGATAAATATAAATATTTGGTTTGGATATAAATCCAAACCTTTGGTTTGGATATAAATCCAAACATTTGGTTTGGATAAATCTAAAGATTTGGTTTGGATATAAATCTAAATTCTCTGCAATAAATCATGTTTTCAGGAGGCGGGGAATATTTCAAATAACAAATGGCCGGATGAGTGATGATATCCTTCAAAACTGCGTAAATTTAGTTTCTAGGGTTTTCTTTTGAAAAATGTTAAGAGAAGTTTTGCCACAGAATATATTGTAAATAAATTTTTTTAAAACGTAACAAAATTAAAAAGCAAAATTTAAAATGGAAAAAAATTATCAGAAAACAAAAATAAAATAACATTTTGTATTAAAAACAAACTAAATTTTCTATATCTTTGCAACCTGATTGCTCAAACGTTTCATATTTCTAACTTAAGATTATTTCGTCTAACATAATTCATAGTTTCAATTGTCAAAGATCTAGGAGTCATTGGATTGCAAAGATATATTGATTATAAAAATCAGAGTTTTTGGCAAGAACTCAACAAAAACTTAAATGACTGCCAAATTCTTTATAAAAGCAATTAAAAAACACAAATAAATTAAAGAAATAAACATTAACAGAAAAAACAATAGCAACAGAAAAAAACATAAGAAAATAATTAATTAAAAAAATAAAAGTAACAAAATTATCTGGGAAAAAAGGTTGCGTGCGCTTAATGCCGCAATTCCATTTTGTGAAGTCACTAAAGTTTATTTTACTGTTTTTTATTCCTGATTTCCATCCAGTTATTGAGTAGGGCGCAGAGGGGGGCCAGGGGGAACGCAGCCACGAAGATTGTGATAAATCCAAACTGGAGTACTAAAAAAAAAAAATTTTAAATATTAAAAACAAAATTTTAAAGTTTAAAAATAACTTTATCTTATATTTGTCTTTCTCTTCGATTCTAAAACTTTTTGATATTGGTTCTGTATTTATATATTAGATCTCTATCCATCTATCCATCTATCCATCTATCTATCTATCTATCTATCGATCTACATCTATCCATCTATCTAACTATTTTTATCTATCCATCTATCCATCTATCTATCTATCTACATCTATCCATCTATCCAACTATTTTCATCTATCCATCTATCTATCTTTAAATAAATATATATATCAACCTACATGCACGGAATACTAAAATATCTATCAAATTTCAGCAAACATGTTAAATCACTGAACCGATCTGCTTGTCACACAAGACTAAGACTTTTTGTTTTATCGACATAAGGATCCTAACCGATGTTTCCTTAAGTACAAACCCACAATTATTAGTTAGGACTTTGGGACCTCGTAACTCCTAGTTTTGAATTTAAGTATGATACAAGAATTGGTTCCATATTAGAAATACAAAAATTATTTATTCTTCTCCACGGTTCTCCAGTTTTTACTAAAAGAATCTATAAATTAAAATCTTTTCAAATTAAAACAAAAGCTACTTTCGTTTATATGAGAGAGGGCAGTATTAAGTTCAGGCAAAGCTGATTATCCAAGTACATCTATTTATAAATAAATCCAAGTTTTCCAACTAAAACTAAAAAGTTTTATATAAGTATGTTAATTCAATAATTAATTATTTAACTAATTAAATTTATGTTATGTCCTTAATGATATTAAAGTTTAATAAACGTTATAGTTCTAAACTGTATATGTCATTGCATTACTATTCATTTATTAAACGTTAAAATAAATTTAATATTCGCCCTGTATTCTGGAATTCACAAATCCCAGCTCGTATCCTTTCTGTTTTGTTTGCTTTTATTATCTCGGCGCCAATTATTTTGGTATTTTCTTTTTTTAATGTTTTATTTAATTTTTTTCAATTTATCCATGTAAAATTGGGTATGTACCAGGGCTAAATGTATAGTGGTCGCAGACCTTTTGGTTCTTAACACAAATGTAAATTAAATATTTATACATTTATAAATTTAGACTGTCGAAGTACATTATTATTATTATTATTATTATTATTATTATCATTAGTTAGCAGAAACTATATTAGCCTTAAAGAAGCAATTTAGATTTACAGGAACAAAATACACAAATTTGCAATTTTTTATATTCATTACATTTTTATATTCACAAAAAAATGTTTTGTTTACTCTAAAAATTTAAAACTCTATGGATGGGCGGAATCTTGATAAATGTTGTGATTCCTCTATAGATTTAACACTCTATGGCTTAGATCTAGAGAAATAATTTTTTTGTTCTATAGATTTAGCATCATATGGCCTAAATCTAGAGAAAAGTTGTGTTTACTCTACAGATTCAGTAATCTATGGCCTAAATCTAGAGAAAAGTTGTGTTTACTCTACATATTCAGTAATCTATGGCCTAAATCTAGAGAAAGGTTGTGTTCCCTCTACAGATTCAGTAATCTATGGCCTAAATCTAGAGAAAGGTTTTGTTTACTCTACAGATTCAGTAATCTATGGCCTAAATCTAGAGAAAGGTTGTGTTTACTCTACAGATTCAGTAATCTATGGCCTAAATCTAGAGAAAAGTTGTGTTTACTCTACAGATTTAGCACTCTATGGCTTAAATCTAGAGAAAAGTTGTGTTTACTCTATAGATTTAGCACTTTATGGTCTAAATCTAGTGAAAGGTTGTGTTTACTCTATAGATTTAGCACTTTATGGTCTAAATCTAGAGAAAGGTTGTGTTTACTCTATAGATTTAGCACTCTATGGCCTAAATCTATGTAGAACTTAACTATAAAAGAAAGAAGGAATTGGATTGGTTGATTTGTTAATTAACACAAGTGCACAGTGCACAAGATATATCTTCTCAATTCGAACTTACAGAGATATCAAGATATATAAACATAACAAGGTTTATTTGTTTCCTTAACTATTGATAAATGTGTGTTGTATGTTTTTTATTCTTTTTATTGAAAATTACTGTTCTATAATATAATATGATAAAAGAAGGTTTATTTATTACTGTTATTACTGTTCTATAATATAATATGATATAAGAAGGTTTATTTATTACTGTTATTACTGTTCTATAATATAATACCGGACAAAAGCAAAAAATTGCATTAAATAATTTTTCTAGGTTATTTTTAACTTATTTTCATTGTAGAATGCCTTGAGTAACTTAATAAAAAATCCGCGAAAAAGGCGCCGATCGCGTTTGGCCCATTTTTTTAAAAAAAATTGGCACTTTTTTAGGTAGACATTGCTCTTTATATTCTCAAATTTCTAAATTAATTTCTAAATTAATTTCCAATTATAGGCCTCGGAAAAACTTTTCTATAAACAAAATAATTGTTTAAAAACATTTATAAGTTTATTCATTTCTACCTAATACAGGGTCGACTTTGAAGTGTCACAACGCCTTGGGCCTAGATTTTACCGCTCTATCTTACTTATATTTTTCTGTAGCCCTTTACATGTACGTTTTTAGCACTGTAAAGCACTTGTTGTAGTTAATATCCAACAATTATAACGTCCAAATTAAAGAAAAATGATTAAAATATATTTCAAGTGACCCTCCATGGAAAGATGACAATGTTCGATACACAATAGTACCCTAAAAAGCTATGTCTAGTATGAAATAGATATCAATGTTTAAAATTTTGAAAACTGATTATTTTTTACATTGGTTCCTCTACAAAGTGACTTGTGTATTTCTTCAACAGGAAAACATGTAGGAATTGTCAGAATTAAACACTGTTAAACCTAGAAAAACGATTTAGGGTACTGGTGTGAATCGGGCATTGCCATCTGTTCCTGGTGTGCCACTTGAAATTACCGTTTCTGCAATCCCTTTAATCCCTGCAATAAACACTTATCCGACGCGATATGTTAACTCGTTCATGCTTTCTCTCTAAAATTTCGGCCAATCAAAGAACAAAAATTGGCTCTATCACTCCTGTATGCCGGTCCATTAGCGCCTGATCCAATCAGGGTTCAGTCATGTGTTTGTTGTCTATTCTAAACCAATAGAAATAGTATGGCGGTAACATTTATCTTTCTATCTATCTCATTATCCAATCAGAGTTATGAATCATTCAATCGGTGCTATCAGTAAATGAAAATATTTACTTCTACTGAAACTATAGTGCTATATCGTTGAAAAGATTCAGCCTCTCATGAAAATACTCTGTTCTCTCGGTAAGAATAATTTATTCTTTAAACACATTTAAAATTCCATCTTAACATATCCAAACTACTCACATATTCAAGAATATCTTTCAGTTTTCTATATTGAGAAAATTATAAGAATTTTTGAAACTGATGCTGTTCTTCACGCTCTTGTGCGAGTTGTTGAAATAGCTTGGATATTACAGGGTGTCCCAAAAAACATGGGAATTCAGTTACGAATTCGATATCGTAATACCTAATTTAAAACCCATAATATTATTATGTCTGCTGGAGTTTATTTTATGAAAACGGTAAATGGCAGTAAAGATGTGTCTATAATGTCTCCGCAAGATGAACAGTGAAGACGGACAAGTTTACTCTGTTTGTATACTGCAATTTTCTTGTTTTACTAAGTACAACCGTATGCAGTCAAAACATAAACAAAAAAATGTAAACATAGCAGACGAAACTGTTATGGATTACAGCTTTATCAGTAGGTATCACTATACTAAATACTGAATTCCTATGTTTATTGGGACACCCTGTAGAATAGAAAGAAAATGGTCTTAGATTTGAAGAGACGCTAAAGAATGACTGAAAAAAACACTTTGATATTGTCTTTTTCCTGGCTTATAAAATGTTTAATTCTGACAGTTTCCTCCATATTGTTTCTTTAGCAGAAATGCGCAAGTCTTTATATAAACAAGCCACAATTAAAAGTAATCATCTTTGAAAGAGGTAATATAAGGTATCATAATTGCAATAATGTGGTTACCATCGCTAAATGTTGATATATCTTCTTGTTTGAATTCTATAAGCTCAACCATGGAACTAAAGCTTAGATATATATCCCCCAGTATAAACCATAGTTTGGAGTAAAGAGTTAAACATTTCCCAAGTTTGCAGTAATAAATTCAGGTTTTAAATCTTTAAACATTAAGGATTGGTCACTGTTTACGGTTAAAAAGGCAAACTGAGACTTGAGGGTTTCTGTCGTTCGGTCAAAAAAGTGTTGAAGGGACTGTCTTTGTAATTTTTGGTGACAAGCTCTTCGGAGAGGTGCATGCCTGATTTACACCAGTTCCCTTTAAACTTTTATTAGATCAATACTATGGAAGATGGAGGAAAAAACTCTGGTTCTTAAAATAAAAACTATAGGGCCACTAGGAAAAAAATAATTATTGAGATGTTTCAATTAAGAAAATGTCCTAAAAGTTTATTTCTTAACCTGCACCCCCAGCCCCCCCTTCCCCTTTCTTCCTCATCTCCCCCCCTTCTTTCCCTCACCATCTTGAGAAGTGTGAATTGTTAAGAAAACAAAACCTGAGTCAACTGTTTATTTTCTGACATTTTTCACTTTTGTATGACGTCATTTTTATTCAACTGACGTCACAAGCCCACTTTAAAGATTTGGTATTGGGCAAAGTCATGCTTATATAAACATCCTTCATATGATATGTATATATGTAGGTAAGTATGTGTCTGTATGTTTGTGTATGTAAACTATGTATATTTGTCAACCTTTTGGTGTTCTATGTCTATTAAACTATGTCTCGGATTTAAAGATAAATATACTCTTGAAAAAGATAACTTAGCAGATTTAAATGTTAGTTTTGGAACTAATATCCTCTGTAATTGAAATATCCGGAAGTTAATTGTACACAATTTCAGGTTGCCATTACACAGTTTCATGAGTTCTGTCAAAAATCGAATAAAAAATTTACAACCTTTTTTGACTGAACTGTCATTAAACAAATATCTGATCAATCTTTGTCTTGTTTATAAATTTCTGTATTTTAATATTTTTGATTGGTTTATTATAATTATCTTTTTCCTTCTCTCATGTTTCCCCTATTATTATGTATTATATTATGTTATATTATATATCATATATTAAAAGGTATAATGTATATAAATGTATATTCTATATGGTGTATGTGGCCGTGTATGTTTGTCACTTTTACTATTTGTCTTAAAATATTTTACACTTGTTTTATTAGAGTACTGCGGGATTGAGTTGAAAACAACCAAACAAACAAACAAACAAACAAATTAGAAAAATATCCCTTCCAAGAGACTGTAAATCGTATTTTTAAAGAACCTTTCATAGAATTTGTACACTCTCAGTACAGCTGTACTCTGACGTCTGAACTCTCAACTTAGTTTTTGTGTCTGACAAAATTATTAATGATTTTGAACAAAGTGCTTATATAACAATTACAAAAGTGCAACGTTATATGTTCTGTATTTTCTGTTTTTACACTTTTTATTTAATCTTGGAAAACATGTCAATTAATGTGAGAAATTTTCATTTTCCTTGTTATATTTGAAACTTGTGACGTCGTGTATAATTGGTTCATTGTACTTGATAATCTATTTGAGATATCCTAGTCTTTCTAACTGAACTTTATTATTTCTGTTGTACTTGATAATCTATTTGAGATATCCTAGTCTTTCTAACTGAACTTTATTATTTCTGTTGTACTTGATAATCTATTTGAGATATCCTAGTCTTTCTAACTGAACTTTATTATTTCTGTTGTACTTGATAATCTTTTTGAGATATCCTAGTATTTCTAACTGAACTTTATTATTTCTGTTGTACTTGATAATCTATTTGAGCTATCCTAGTCTTTCTAACTGAACTTTATTATTTCTGTTGTACTTGATAATCTATTTGAGATATCCTAGTCTTTCTAACTGAACTTTATTATTTCTGTTGTGGTTTCTTATTATAGTTTGAGGTGATATGAGGATATCAGATATACGCATATTATGTACTGTACACTGTGGGAGGAATGTAAACAAACCCAGTGCCCCCACAGAAGTTGAAGGGAAAGGACTAAAGCTCTGATGTGATATCACAGTCCAACAAAAAGAAGTTAATATATCAAGTAAGAGCGAATACATATGATTTTTGGCTTTCTGGTCAATATGGAAAATAAAATAGCAATACTTTTTTATTCCACCCCTTTTACCCTTTCTCCTCAAAAATGCTGCATTGCCCCTAAATTCTTTGTTTTGATTTATTTGATTTGATTTGATTTATTTGATTTATCACTTATCGGAAATCAAAGACGCTATTAATATTAAATCGTCTCTCAAATCTCATGTTTATTAGGACTCCCTGTACTTACTTTTTAGAGAGCTCATTCAGAATCTATTCTTAAATTTCCAATTAGAAATCTATTTAGTTTTTGATTAAAGGGATTAAAGTTCCCAAAAAAGATTTAACTCACCCATCTCCAGATACTCCTGGAACAATCCCTCATTCTCCACCAGCTTGTAATCCTGCTCCATCTGGGATCCGCCAATACTGGCCAGCTTAGACTAAACAATAAGTGATTGATTGATTGATTGATTAGTTGATTTATTTATTTATTGATTGATTTATTGATTTATATCTATCTATCTATATATTTATCTATCTATCTATCTATTTATATATCTATCTATCTATTTTTCATTTTCAAATTTGTAACAATACATTGTAATTGTAAGGCCATTTCATGGCCTTACAATTTCAAATAAGATTAAAATAAAATTGTGCAAACTGCAGTTGGAGAAATTGCATATAATTTGCATACTTTTTCAATTTTAGCAGTGTTTAATTAAATGCATACATGTTCCACTTTAGAACTGTCTTAAAGAAATAGATAAAGGATTAATCCACAAAGGCGAAGACTTTAATGAGACTGTAGACTGTAGAGGTAATTTCAAGTAAATGTTATTCATGCCTGAGAGGAGATTTTAAAAGCTTAAACCCGAGTAAAACCCAAACTCGGGCTTATATAGAACCCAATGAGAGACTGTTTTGCAAGCTTTCTCTCTGGAGCAGAAAGAATGCCGTCAGATCAGCTGTGACAAGGAGATGTAAATTTCGAAAATTCAAACTTTATGTAGATACATTATTTTTATAGTATGTTTATTTTATATAATTAATAAAATTTGACACCACAAATAATTCCTGTGATTTTAAATGTACAAATATAAAAGGTTTTACGAAATTTACGATCATCAGCTGCTGAAGACTCGAGCCTTAAAGAGAGAAAGATCCAAGATGGTTGGTTCTTACTAAAATCCAGGCCATCCAAAACCCAGGTCTCGACTTGAGCTTTAATTGGGTCTAAGTAGACGCAAAGACCATGTTTTACTCGGTTTTCAGCTTTTAAATTCTCATATCTGATATTTAAATTCTCATCTCTGATATTTAAAATCTCATCTCTTATATTTAAAATCTCATCTCTGATATTTAAATTCTCATCTCTGATATTTAAATTCTCATCTCTGATATTTAAAATCTCATCTCTGATATTTAAATTCTCATCTCTGATATTTAAATCTCATCTCTGATATTTAAAATCTCATCTCTGATATTTAAAATCTCATCTCTGATATTTAAAATCTCATCTCTGATATTTAAAATCTCATCTCTGATATTTAAATTCTCATCTCTGATATTTAAATCTCATCTCTGATATTTAAAATATCATCTCTGATATTCAAAATCTCATCTCTGATATTTAAATCTCATCTCTGATATTCAAAATCTCATCTCTGATATTCAAAATCTCATCTCTGATATTTAAAATCTCATCTCTGATATTGAAAAGTTTTAGAAATGATATGAAAAAAGTTTTTTGGCAATAAACTAATTATACTTAATAGAAATAAAGTAGTTTTTCTTATCTTACAAGTGCATGTGGGAAAAAAATTATTTTATTTTGGGCTTAAACCTTTTAATTTCTTATCAATGGTTCTTGAAATTAGAAGATTTTAAACTAAAAATGGATAAACTTTAGGTCTAATAAATACGTCTTTTAAGCAGAAATAATTTTTAAGAAGAATAAAATCTTGTTTTAAACAGAATTAATTATTAAAAAATAAAATTCTTGTTTTGAACAGAATCAATTATTAAAAAATAAAATCTTGATTTGAACAGAACCAATTATTTAAAAAATAAAATCTTGATTTAATAACAATATTTACAGGTGTGTATATTTTTCAGAATCAGGTGGGGGGGGGAGGGGGGATTTTTGATGATTTGGGGAAATAAAATGAAAAATTGGACATGAAAAGGCATATTTTTTTCTTTTCTTTTTGATACTTTTCCCCTAAAAATTGATCGATTTTCCCCTGAAAATTGATCGATTTTCCCCTGAAAATTGATCGATTTTCCCCTAAAAATTGATCGATTTTCCCCTGAAAATTGATTGATTTTTCCAATTAAGCGAATAAAAACCCTAAACAGATTTTTAAAGAAAATATTGACCCCTCTATATTTCTACTTTACCTTTTTAGAGTGCCACCAGGCCTTGAATTTGGGGATAAAAACCTCCTGGGCATTATTTATGATCTGCTTCCCTAGAATTTTAAACTGTTTGTATACAGTGGACCAGAAAATACCGGAATAGTATATGGTCGTCTTTCTTCCTTCTTTTTCTTCTATAATGTCGCAAAATATTTTGCAATTTTTCAGTATATAAAAAAAATGATTTTTAGAAATATATCATTAAAAAACACAAATTGCAAAATCATTATCGACATACACGGGCAGCTGTAGTACATTTGAATTTTCGAGCCGGGTCAACCTTTCTGGTCTCAGTTTGTACTGTATCGCCCGGACATTGGGCAATAGGACTAGCCGGTGCAACAAGGTTGACGCGGTCAGACTTGGGGTTGAATTTACTTTTACTAAAGGGTCAGGGTGCGTGCATTTCTTAAAGGGACTGTAAGCGTAGTTTTAACTAAACCTTGATGTGCAAAGATGGCAATGCCTGATTCACACAGATTTGTCTAATCAATTATAAATAATGCTTTTGTTTTTATTAATTGTTTATGTTTTTGTGATTTCTCGGCAAAAGTGACTTGCGCATTTCTTGCTTATAAGAAACAATGGAGATATAATCAGAATTTAACACTTTTCGAGTCAAAAAAACGGTGTTATCTTCCACATTATATTTTTGATCAGATAAAGGTTTCAAGACTACCATTGTAAATCGGGCATTGTCATCTTTGCATGGAGGGTCAATTTAAATTAGGCATACAGTCCCTTTAAACAAAAGAAAGAACAAAAAGTATTCCCCAGTTTTTTCGTAAACACTGAACCGCATTAATTCAAATAATTTCATTTCCTATTTTTATTCAACTACAAAGCATGAGATATAGCATTAAATTCGTAAACCTTAAAATATTATTGACAAAAAAGCCTCCTCATAATTCTCAACAATTCCCTTCCACTTTCTTTCAACAAATTCTCACGATAAACATTACCATCCCAACAAAACCAATTCTAACTATAAAAAAGCTTCACACACATTCAAACATTTTCCCCAGTTCACTGAAAACCAAAATAAGCAAGCTCTAAAGAAAAAATCTCTTAGGATTTTGCCAATAACTCCTTTCATATTAAAGCTTAGAAATAAGCAAACTGCAGTTTTAAAATGTCCATGTTCAAGTCTAAACGTTTCTGTAAATTATCTATCACACCTAAATTACAGCAAACCTTCTCCGTAATTAGGACTGGACACGTTCTTTGTTTTTAAACACTGTTCAATCCACACTAGGAAAGGTAATAAGGGTTTTCAGCTACATCGTTTGTTTTAAACATTTTATTGTCAAATTTGTCCAGTTCAATTTTTTCTCCTTTTCTAAAATTGACAATTGACTAGATTTTTACCGTTAGTTCACATCGTTATAAAGGGAGTGTCGGCGTAATTTCAAGTGACCCTCTATGTCAAAGAGAGAAATTCCCGATTTACATTATAGTATCCTTTAAACTTTTGCCTGAACATTGAGTACAGAGATCTCGTTGTGTAAATCTGTTGAAAACCATTTGAATTGAGTTGTAAACCCCGGTGTACAGCTTGTGCACTCACTCAACACAGTCCGACAACCTTGATCTGTTAAAGGTTTAAAGGGTACTGCTGTGAATCAGAAACGTCATTCTACAGTCAATGATAGTGAATCGTCAACTTTATGTCAAATATGATTAGATTAAACTATTCGTTTCTGTTCGTTTTCTGATCGTTCCGATTTCTTCAAGAACGGTTCTAACTGAATTCGTTCACTTTCATAACGATGTAGTCGTTAAAGTGAAATTCCGTTTGTTAATTGGAAAATCTATCGTTCCCCGTTAAGCCCCCCCCCCCTCTCATCCAACCTTTTTACTTTTATCCCCTACTTTTATTCTTTACTCCCCTAAGACCTAGATCAATTTAATAAATTTAATAAATTTAGCATCCACCACACTCTGTGAGCTTGTCTAACTTATATATTTGAGAAATGAGAATTCTTGGTGAAAACTTGTAACTTCTCAGTTTCCCCGGCACCAAACCATTAAAATAATGTCCGTCCTCTCCAGCTCAAATAAAATTCTCGATCTCAACCATAACTTTAGAATATGGTTGAAACAGTTTAGTTACAGGGTTAGTACAGGGATGAGAATTTAATGAGAGCCTGAAAATTCTTAAAGAGATAGTCGACATAAAGTTAAAGAGGGGAAATTCACAACGCTGCCCTATAAACCTTTGTCTGAGCAAGGCCAAATGAGTAGGACTGGGCGTGTCCTACTTTTTAAAAAATCGTTCCGTTTCGTTCCATTCTGTTCCGTTTATTCTCGTGAAAGATGGACCGTTCCCCAAGAACGACGTACAGACCTTGAGGCGTGGGCGTGTTCCACTTTTTAGAAATTGTTCCGTTCGTTCCCGTGAAAGAACAGCCGTTAACCAGGAACGACGCCCAGCCCAATGAATGAGATATCTGTATTTTTCCAATATTTTCAACTGTAGTTTCTATGTAAAAGGGATTTGTGGATTCATGTTGCAGAGAAAATAAAGGAAATTATAACAATTTAACAATATCCAAGATTTCGTTTCATTGACATTATTCTAGATAAAAATAAGATAAAAGTGATGGAAGAGTACTGTTGTGAATCGTACAGTCCCTTAAAATTCATCATACAGTCCCTTTATATTCAGCATACAGTCCCATTAAATTCAGCATACAGTCCCTTTAAATTCAGCATACAGTCCCTTTAAATTTAGCATACAGTCCCTTTAAATTCAGCATACAGTCCCTTTAAATTTAGCATACAGTCCCTTTGAATTTAGCATACAGTCCCTTTAAATTCAGCCCTTAATCAGTTAAATAAAACACTATATTTCTTCTCTGTTAATTAAATTGAGAAATTAATGTTAGACACTTTTTTCTTTATTTTCTAAATCATTAATGAAAAGCATTCTTCACATGGTTTATTCGTGTTTAAACCTTATTTATTATTAACTTCTATGATTTTAATAAGAACTTTAAAGAAACCAATATGAAAACCGCGGATAAACATTTAGTGGTAAAATTCTAATCAAATGATAAATTATGCACACAATAATGTGCTTTACAAACTAAAACTAAAATATTTAAAGGGTCTGATTACGGAATTTTAAGTAACCCTCTAATATAAGAGTTGCAATGCTCTCTTAACAACGGTTCCCTTTAAAAAATAAAGAAGTGATTCCTTCCGGCAATCATGTGTAGCTTCTTTTGAACACCTTGTGTTTTTTTTTAATCTTACCCATCATAATTACTCCTAACTGTTGGGCCAGCTCAATTAAACAACCACCATTTCCGCACTAAATAACAAATATCTTTGTGAATATGTTAATATAAATCTTTTTGAACACTGTCATGTCCGAGTGTGTTCTGTCTTTTGAACACTGTCATGTCCGTGTGTGTTCTGTCTTTTGAACACTGTCATGTCCGAGTGTGTTCTGTCTTTTGAACACTGTCATGTCCGAGTGTGTTCTGTCTTTTGAACACTGTCATGTCCGTGTGTGTTCTGTCTTTTGAACACTGTCATGTCCGAGTGTGTTCTGTCTTTTGAACACTGTCATGTCCGAGTGTGTTCTGTCTTTTGAACACTGTCATGTCCGAGTGTGTTCTGTCTTTTGAACACTGTCATGTCCGAGTGTGTTCTGTCTTTTGAACACTCTCATGCCCGTGTGAGCAATTTTTGACAACAAATTAACATCCAGAACTTAGCAAAGGAGGTTTTGTTTTTTGAATCTTGTTATGTCCGTGTGTTTTTTGTCTTTTAAACACTGTCATGTCAATGTGTTTTGGACAAAAATCAGCGGGGTTATGTATAAATTTAAAAAAAAAATTATTGTTTGTATTTTGTCCAAAATTATATTTTTTTTTTGACACAAAATGTCATTTTTTTCGGGGAAAAATCGTTTTTTTTGTAGAAAAGAATACACTCTTTGCATAAAATAATAAGATAACACACTTACATCTTCATTTCTGACGTTGCCGAAGATATGTTTATATCTGCCTGGGTAGCCGACGAACTTCCCCTTGAAGAAGGCAATGTAGAGGATTGATGAGTAGAAGTTGATGAACTGGAAGATGAAAACCTTGAACGTTAGGTTGTCGTCAAAATCCGACTGAGTTCGGTGCATTTCTAAACAAAACAAAAAATATAAAAAGACGATTTATTTCTATCTTCTTAAACTTATTTAGACTTTTTGTCATCAAAACTGTCTGAATATAGCTTTTTATTTAAAAAGAATTCATGAAGAATAACCCTAGATAAATTAGAATAGATTGTTCATGTCGTCTTCACCATACCGGATGAGTTACAGTTGAAATTGAAAATGGCAATTAAGCTATGGACTAGCTACTGACATACATTGGATATAAAGGTTTGCGGCAAGTATATTTGTACTTTGTACAAATTTATGGGGGTTTGTTTACAAATATTGCAGACATACTAGATAAAAGTTGAATTTCAAAGGATTAGAACGAAGATTAGTTGCTGCTTGCTACCGATATGTGAGTGATAATGATGACAATCAGACTCCCCTTACACACAAAGAACACATTAAAGTTGGAAGACCTTTCAAACTATTAAATCTCTTGGGATGATAGCGATACTTTGGTGAATTCTATGTGTCAACAATCAACATGTGGACAGTGAAAATCTCGGTATGATTACCATTTTATTTTATTTTATT